CAATGGGGGCTCGTCCGGGAAACAAATTTTGAAAAGAACCCAGGAGTGTGACGTTCGTATTGAAGAAATTTCAAGCCAAGACTTCTCACAATCTCTGTCAGCTCTGTTGACAAATTGTAATGATACTTACCTGGATATTTACAGTTTCATGTTTATTTCTGCAGGTTGAGTACTACTCCTTCCCGTGCCTGATCTTGACAACAGGAACCAACACCCTCCAGTTTTCATATTGTCTTTGGCCAGTAAGTGAGTACATTGCCAAAATGGAGGAGCACCTTGAAAACATTAAAGTCATAGCGGAAGCATGTGGTTTGAGTGGAACAGAGTTGTTAGATTTTCTTAAAGAAGAGCAGCGAGCGAAAAAAGACGAAACACGAGACGAACGCAATTATCACCGAGAACTTAAACGTGCCGAATTCGAAAACCTCCAGTTGCAATTGCGCATAGAAACTTTGCGAAAAGAGAACGCAGATAAACTAGCAGCATAACCAACTTACTTGAACCTTCGTTGCTCGGGCAAGTTATCCACTTGAGTATTGCACTTGTACCTTGACCTAGTAATCTGCACGCGTATCAGCAATCTGCATATCTCTAAATATGTCGAAGCCCTGTTATTTAATTACCTGCATAGGGAGTGGGCGTATCCCATGGAGTATGGGGGAATATTTGCTGGGTCTGTTGGCTTATTCATTGATGTATTGATTGAACAAATGAAAGGACGATGGCGGGCCTGTTGTTCTCTTAATCGATATATCGAAATGACAAGCTGCCTTAAGAGCAATTTGTTTGCCATTTGAGGAACTAAAGACCGTTCCCATGCATTATAGGTTAAAGCTGCAAAGTGATGGAAAGTAATCGAGGTGGAAAAATCTTTTCCTATATGTCATCCCATGCAATCGTCTTTGTCAAACTCTAGCGAATAAATGGCGTCATCTTTGCAAATACAAGCTTCCAAAAGCAAACACAGTTATTGTAAGAGAAATTATCGTGGTGAAAGCAATTCCTTTCGATTCGTCACTTTCGGTACAGATTCGTCTTCGCAAAACAATCGAAATGCTTCAATTCCATTAGCTTCAACCCCCCCCCGTGTCTGATAGGGTCTAACTTTATCCGATAAATTTATGTAAATTGTTTTCGAAAAAGACAAATGACCGGTTCTTTTTATCCGCTTATTTTCGTCAAAAATGAACAAATATACCGCGTCATCCTTGCAAACTTCCCAGAGTAAACAACATTATTCTAAAAAATATCAATGCGGATCCAAAACGTCATCTTGGGATAAATGAGCAATCTCTCATCTAAACGAAAATGACCGTGTTGAAAACATTCCTTTCGAGCCAGTCAATTTCAGTGCGAGTGCATAATGAATGAGAGACGCAAAGAAAACGCAAAAACGACAAAAAAGAGAAAGATTAAATGAATCAACCCCGTTGAAAACCATTGACAAAAAATTGCTTGCATCCGCTACATAATGAAGGAATGCCACGATGGTATCTTGAAAAATTTAGTTATTTAGTTCAATGCTTTCAACCTACAATTTCCGAAAATAACAAATGACAGGATTTTCTTATTCAAAAGAAAACAAATTTCGACGCTAACTGCTGGCCGACATCCTCTGAAAAACGATATGCATCAAGTCCTCTCCCAAAGAAAAAAATTGCACTGCAATCGCATCTTAACGTTCGATTGCACTGCTGCGAGACAGGAAAAGCTGACAAATAATAGGTTCAATTTTCTCTCCTTGTTTTCGTCAAAAATGCGAACATGTCGCGTCATCCTTGCAAAGTTTTCAAGATTCCCAAAGTAAACACCGTTTATTGGAAAAAAAAACCATTGCGGATTCAAGTACCATCTTAGAATAAATGAGTGATGGAATCCTTTTGGTTCGATAAATAGCGACCTCTTCATGTAAAGGAAAACGACCCTCTTGAAAGCTTCCTTTCGATCCGGTCACTTTCAGTACCAGCGCATAACAGATTCGTTTTCTCGAAAAGTCGAAGCGCTTCCTGTCCGTTAGCTTCGAATCATTCCCTTGCATCTGGTATGGGACCCGGTATCTGGTGAATAGTAGGCACCTGACCGTCGGTCTTCGAAAAGGAACAAACTGCAATGTAATCGCATTCTGACATATTCGATTATTCCACTGCGGCGAAACACAAAGCAAACATGAAAAGGAAAACACCGATAATAAAAATTGGGATGCTCTGAATTTGTTAAAATCTTAAAAATCAAATTTTACAATGATTTCTTCAGATATTTTGTTAAACAATTTCACCAGACAATCTTAGAGTGTGACAAATGACAGATTTGTTTTGTCCACTTATTTTTCGTTAAAAACGAGCGACTATATCTTGAAAATGTTTTTGAAGATTTCAATCTTCGAATATGACAAATGGAAGGATTTTTGTATTTAATAGAAAACAAATTTTGACGCACCTTCATCTTCTTCGAAAAACGATATGCACAAAGTCCTCCCTCCAAAAAATGCAATGCAGTTGCATTCCAACATTTTCGATTACATTGCAGCGAGACTCGCAAGTAAACACGAAAAATAAAATAAAATGAACCCCGTCCTAAATCATTGGCGACAAATTATTTGCATTTTGTAAAATGTGAAAATCCCACGATTTTTCAATGTTGTCACAATTTCACCCGGTGTGGTATCTGGTATCAGGTAAAATGGTTAGCACCCAGTTGTCTTCGAAAGAAAACAAATTGAAGTGCAGTTGCGTTACGACATCTTCAAGTATGCAACGGTGAATACGCTCACATAAAACACAAACAAAAACGACAAAACAAAAAGCACCCCATCTTATCAAGTATCATGAAAAAAATTGCATCTGCTAAATTGTAAAGAAATGCTTAGATTGTATCTTGAAAAATCTTTGAAAATAACAAAGGACAAGATCGTTGCCGTCGAAAGAAAGCAAATTGTTACGCAGCTGCTTTTTCAGCATCTTCGACAAATGATATGCATCAAGTAGTCTCCGGAAGAAGTGATTGCAATGCAATCGCATCCCAAACTCTTTGATTACACGACAGCTAAGACACGCGAAGAAAACTTAACAACGTACCCAATTAGACCCACCGCCGTCCTTTCATTTTATCTGCTGATTACTTAAAAATGCAGCGATGGTATGTCAAAACTGTTGATTGATTTTATCCAGAAATCTTCAGATCTTCAGATCAACAGGATCGTTGTATTTAAAAGAAAAGAAAGGAAAAACAACAATCAAAAACGATAAAAATAACAAATAAATCAAATGGTTCGCACCCAGTTCATACAAAAGGAGAAAGCGAGTCTAACATGCCAACCTCAGATGTACGTCGTCTAACATAAAATGGCGAGGGCTTCTTGCTGCTCAAGTCGTCATATAGACATGTCATCTCCAAATTACATTCCAAGCGAACTGATTTCCTCTACTTCGACTAAAACAATTTCAGAGGAAATTCTGCCTAGTGAAATGAAAACATTGTGAGACTTCGTCCATAAACAAAGAGGGTAGTCGGCTCCGATCATTTCCTGATTAAAAATGGGATTTTTAAGTTATAGGCCTGAACTCTACGTAAGTCCGACCTGCAAAGATCGACAATATTTTTTCCAAGCAAAGTGAGGCACCTGTAAGCGTATTAAAATGTGCTGAAAGTTGAGCAAAAAAGGTAAATTTTCGTAACATTTTCTTGTGGATATAAATCTATTGGATCTATGGAAGGCAGTCCAGTTCAACATGTCAGCCCGAGGCCCCCCAAAATGCTGTTGGTCTCATCAAAATAGTGCATGTAGCTTGCTCAATGATGCGTACACCTGTCACCGTCTTTACCCTAATACCTCAGGTTGATGGCTTCAACCTCAATTTAATATGGTATATGGGCTGAATATGTAAAGTCTCGAAATCAGCTTGGCTTCATCAGTAACTAGTTTTGACCTAGTAAAGTAGGCCAAAAGAAATAAAACCGGTTACTTGTATTAAAACTGGTCATACATTTCTGGCGTAAATCCTACCGTATATTGAATTAAATGTAATTGGAATCCTCTCCGGAAAGCTGTCATTTTATTGCTACAAGGTCCTCGTTAATTCTTAAGAGACAAGCAAAGTACAATATTCCGTATAACTAGAGTCGTTGCTCGAACTTACCCGAGGCTGTCACTCCCTTTACGCAACGCATTCCATGCCACCGTGGGAATATGAACACGCATGTACTTGTGCCGTGAGTAGATTTCAGAAGTCAGTTTTCAGCCTGAACAAGTAAACTCAATTTATACTTTCTCACGAGTTACTTGACCGATTAACATCTTGACAAATCAAATTAAACCAGCTATGCATATTGAACTCAACTAATTGCGTTCAATAACATTCCAAATCGGTTAATCCTCGCGTTGTATCAAACAGTAAAATATTCTCAGTATATTGTAATAGAATTAAAAGAAAGGTCAAAGGTAAATTTTAGATGCCTATACGGAAATATCATTACAGCCGTTTTCTAAAAAATTAACACTCCAATTAGAAGATAGCAAATAAATTTTGCTTGATTATATTGCTCATGTTAACAGATCAATTAACCAATAGAAAACCCCATTTAAAATATAAATTGGGTTAAAAAAATCGGTTGTCATTTTTGTTATACTGAAGAGCCAACAAGAAAACTTTAAAATCCACCATAAAAATATATGCGTCGGCTTCTGATTTATTTCTATTTAAACACTAATTTAAGCCCTTGCGTAGCCTCAATTCTCCTTACATTATGACTTTGAGGTTTTGCCAGTATCTGGGTAAACTTTGATTATTACAAGAGTACTAGTAGAAAGTTCCTGTTATTACCTAAATAAGCCGAAAAAACTAGGTCTCGTTGGCTTTTTCACCGAGTATTATCGTATGACTTAACTGATTACTTTCCTGATCTTACTTGCAGTTCCACTGTAATTTAATGTCGGATATTCTTGCATTTCCAAAGTCGCTAGTGAGGGTGCAATGAATATCATCCTGGATACGACATGACTACTATTCATACATGAAGCGTAGTCAAAATGTTACTCCAAACAATTCCACTCAATGGCTTTCGATGATCTTTGCTGCACACACATACATCTTTTAAAACTATTTTCTGCTAAGAAGTTTCAACACTGAAAAAAAAAATGCGTATCCGGCTTCTGCAACAGGGAGAATTTTTTCCTTTGCGAAAAAAAGAGGCAGAAACCTGATTTGCAAGAATTCACCTTTCATATTTGATGGACATGTACCACTAAAACACTTGCAGATTGATTAAATTTGATATGTGATTGTTAAATATTTATACTAAGTTTAAAATAAGTGACTGCAATGCTAATTATTAAACGCTTAAGTTTTTAAGGAAATCAACCCATAACCCTTTTAATAACGTGGATACATACTACAAGAGGAATTGTTGAAGACTTTTAACAACTATAGTATATCTATTCTTGATTAATTCCAGCTTCAAACGTTGTGGTTACTTTGTCTTATTGACCCCTTTCGCAAGATTGGTTTATTCACTTCTTTACACAGCTGCTTCTCCGGTGTCTGGTTCCTCAGAGAGAATGTTCTCGATCTCCTCCAACAATCCATCTAGATTTTCCTCCTTACATCGCTCATTCTCCTCTATTGCATCCAGGAGCTACGCACGATAATAACAGAAGGAATTAAAATCAAAGTTGACCATTATTTCTGAAAATCGCGATACCTGAACTTTTAAAAATTAAAAATTTCAACCCATCAGTTACATAGTTTACTGAAAATACTGTATAAGAAACTTAATGGTTTAATCTGCTTCAAGACTCAGTTCGCAGTCAATTACCGTTACTGTTTAAAGTTCAAATACTTCAAAACACTTCCACACAAAAATATACGTTTTTTCACCTTCTGCTTGAATCTTCGCACCAGTTTCCATAGCTGGTCCAGAGTGCTCAGTTTGCTGAAAAGGCCAGTGAAGTTCTGCCAAAAACAATTTCGGCCACAATTCTATAAATGTTTCTTCTAATTGTGCTATGAGAACTAACTTTGAAAAATCGCCAACATTTCAAAAGGATTATTATTCTTGTAATGCTTTCTCCAAACCCTTTTTATATCTCCATTGTCATAAGGCTGTCAGCAGGGCATGAAAATAGAAATCTCTGTCCAGTTTTTTTTGTTCTATTAAAATTCAGATTTTTTTTCTGCTATAAAGAAGAGTGACAATCATTTACAGAATGCAAACTAGCTAGAAGATTACATCTTTGCAAAAATAGCAAACGACTTTATGGCTAATTATGGCTAGTTTTAAGACTCATTTGGCGAAGATGTTTTACCTCGCTAGCTTTGTAGAGTTCCTTGTTCAGTTCTTGAGTGGGCACTGGAGGTAACTGCTGTACTTCTTCGTAGAAGGAGACAATGTCATCGTGATACTTTGTCCTCTCTCTGCCATACAGCAACTTGTTGATGGAGGTCTCCTTGGTTTGGGAAAAATACACCATGGGGAACGTAGGGTAATGTTGAATGTTGAAAGTTTGACAAAAGACATTTTGAACTGGTATCTTGGTCTTTGTTTACCACTATGGTCTTTAGCAAATTTGAATTTTGCAACTATGCTTCCGTGATTTGGATTTTGCTGGTTTTGCAAACGCTGACAAAATAGTCATGGAGTTGGGATTTGTATGCAACCGCCTCCATGATTCAAGTTACCCTGCCCAACTTCTGGCTCTTGGTATCATGTGCGTCATGGAATAACTGAGCGATGACGTCAAGGCTGGCCTCTACGCTTCGAGATGGGCGGATGTCAAAGATGTAGTCAGGGTGCTTGATGGCGTTAGCCCAGAAGCGCAGTGGCAAACTATAGCACAAGTCCCAAAAAGACCCACACAAAAAAGAATCAATTGTAAACTTTATCAAATGATGATCAGAAGACGCACAGCAACGAACTTAATTTCAGTCTTTAATAGCTCTGTAACAAATATTGCCCAAAATTCCCATGATTGTATGACAACTAGAATGAGTGTAGATTAGCGATCCTTACATGTTACTCTTCCAGATGTGAACGAGGTCAGGGTCTTTGTCAGACAGTTCATGTCGGTAGGCTTGATTGTCAAAGAAATCAAACAGGTACTTGATGGCCCTAGGGGCGGTCTCGGCTGACAGAATGGCCTGGAACATGTTGTCCACATACTCCTGGATGATGCCCTGTGTAATGAGACAAAGAAACTAGGCTGTTGTTGAACTCCAAGCATGTGAAATATTCAGCCATGCAGTGTAGGAATGGAGGAAAATACAGGTATCAAGCTCTGAGGAGAGAGCTTAAATTCACTATGAGTTGTGGCAACAAGCGCTTTCTCGGCCAGTCTTCGGGAATCACTAGCATGGCTGCTTACTTTGGTTGACAGAAGTCTTGGGAAGGAAATCTCCCTGATCCTACGACGATTTATCTTGTTCCTAAAGGTGACAACATCCAGTGAGATGCATCCTCCTTGCTTTCTCAGTCTACCTCCTTCCTCGTCTGTAGGCCACTCCTCCTCCTGGGTCTGTCAAGAATTGAATAAGTTCACATAATTTTACATTTTTGAAGTGCAATGTATGTTTGTATTTATAAAGTGAACATTTACAGCTTGTAAGTTCAAGAGGAAAATAAACGAGCTGTCTCTTTACAAGATGCCAATCTCTGACTCCTTCCTGCATCTCTACTTCGGCCAAAGTGTAGCGTCGCTTGGCACTCATCCTGCGTTTGATCTTCTCATCGTCAAAGGCCACGTTTACTAAACACACAGAATATTTGAAAATGGAAGAAGATATCACAGCAATGCGCATTTGTTACTTTCAGAGATCAGATGAGAGTTATTTTGTGTTGGAAGTGTGTTCCAAGAAGTCAGTCGCGTATATTAAGAAAGTGTATTGCTCAGTTACTAGAACTTTATCAACAGACTGTTTCCAAAATATCTAGTCCGTGAAATTTATCTAAACAAAGCGAAGAGAGGAGGAGATAGGGGTGTCACTAGTTTTTGTAGAGACATATTGGTTTCAAAATGGCCCAGGGAATTATTTTGGCTCACTGAATACATCAAAGCTTCTGAGACTATTTTCCCCACTAAAGTGAAGTATTTCAAAAGTGAATTATCATCATAATAAAATGTTTGGCGTTTAGATTTCATTTGTATCTCAATACTTGGTATTAAATGCCTAAGAGAGAGCTCTGAACAAACCGAATCTGAAATATTGAGAAAAATACATGTACTAAATTTCCTCCAAGCTCGTTTTGATATTCAAGAAATGAACGAAAGACGATAGTACATGCAGCCATCAAGTATTTTTTTTCTCTCAATTTCTCAATGTTATTGTCACACGGTCCACTGCCTAGCCTTTCCACCTTCGTTCTTTTGTGTAGTCAGAGAAGGGTGAGACTTTCATCCACGGTTTGCAACAAAGACAGTTCCCGCGGGGAAAACTCGGAAATAACATGGAAGTAAACATAATACTCGTATAACTGCATGTATTGGAGGGGAAATGCAGCCGTATGAAATGTGTACCCATTGCAATCAAGAGGGAGCCATTTCTAATGTGATGCACGTTAAACCATATCTGTCATTCTAAAAGTTTTATTCCCTCCCGTCCCGTCTCGTAATGCTGAGTTATTAATAGCTCATCACAAAAGGATTCTCACCGTAAGAAGTCCTGCCTTGCACCCTCAGGATTGTTCCTGAGAGTGTAGCATTTGGCACATCCTGCTTCTCGACAAGGGTCACGAGGCCATTGTCTGGAACCTTTGGGGAGACATTAAAGTGTTAGAAGCAGACTTCCCTCCGAACACACCAGCATTCTATCTTGAATAAACTGAAGTAAAATTTCAGTCAAAATGGAATGGCATGGTAACTAGTAGACTTAGGGAAAATTGAGATGGGCCAAAAAGACAACCATTGCGTCATTTATTATCCAATTAAACTTAGGCAGGGTATGTAGAAACAAAATAACGGGCAACAGTCATCATCATCAGAATGAGCAAAATAATTGTTCCCGTCTGATCAACTGTAATATGACGTGGAAAGTGTCATTCTTATTTTTGATTTGTAAGTATATCTGTCGTTGAACCACAATTCTCGTTTGAAGGAGAGTAATGACGCAAACTTCGCAGATTGAGCGGTTAATAAGATCAGAATAAAGAAACTTATACCCTTTTTATAAATGAATATTTAATATCATACATGGAAGTCTTTGAGCATGTTGATTCGACGCCATTTATCTGTCAATGGCCTCATGTCCGTGTCAGTCAAGACAAGTTTGCCGCTCCGTCCATGTCTCCATTCTAAAATAATTAAGAAGAGAAAAAATATTTTCGGAGAAATGAACGAATGGTTGACTGAAGGGAATGAAGTGAAGTCAAGACAAAAAGCAACAGATTCCCCTACACCCCTAATAGACATTCTGAACACAAGAATCAGATTCATTCTCGGATAGAAATCATTAGCCAAATGACAAAATTACTTTAGTCATACTCGACGCATTTTTGTGTAAAGCTGTGCAAAGGAAGAAATCATGATTAGTTTTTGGTGTCCCAAATAGCATTAATTCAACTGGGTACCCGGGTAACTGGTCGAACAGCGGGAACATACCAAGGCTGACTTGATTAGCACTTGGGCGGTTGGAGTAAGGTTTGTTAAGATGGAGAGCATCTAAAATCTTCTCCTTCACTTGGGAGATGGTGTCTACGTCCAACACTTTCACTTCTTTGATCACTTCTCCTTCTTCATCAATAAGGACAACCAAAGTCTGAAGGAAGGACCAAATGTAAATCAGAATTTCGATTTGAAGAGAATTTACTTGTTGCAGATTGGTAACATCCATATTTCGTTTGAAATCATAAGAGGAAAAGAGAAAAGTCTTAAATAATAAGGGAATAAATGTGTGCTTGGCCGGTCTTAGACCGGCTATTATAAAGGAGAATGAACGCGACTAATGCCCAAACGCATTCACAAATACCTCTTTAGTCAGAGAGTCGAAAGAATTCAATATATGATGGATTTCCAACGATTTTGTTCTAGAATTTTACTTTCATTTTCCCGAACACCCCTGTCCATTTTATGTTACAAATCTTTTACAAGTTGTCCAAAAGAATCTCCTTATGTGGACTTGGTGCGTGACGTGACGAGCCGTGTGCACACAGACTCTTCACCAATCAGAACCCAATGTGTCTCGTATCCAGGCGCCAGTCGTGATTCACGCAGCGGGCATTATATCTTCTCAGCAGGCATTATCAAAAGTTAATACACAGTCAAGTTGCACGTTGCTAATTGGGGAGACTGAGGTATTTATCAATAAAGTATAAAGGGGAGAAATCGAAGTATTAGCATCATAATCTGTACATAAAAGGTCCACCCTAACTTCTTTTCGGTGACTTTAACGTAAAGTGATTTTTACAGATGTTATTATACCAAGTAGACTCACAAGGGAATTGAACTCCACGTCTTCTTGCAGAAGTTTCTCGTAGTTCAGCGAGAAGCGTGAGCGACCTGTGATGACATCGACTGGACCATTCTCACTTCGGTACTTTATGGCTCGGTACAACACAAACAGCGGGCGGGCAGTGTGATTCTTGAAGAAAATGGGGAAACTCATCACTCAAAATGAGGCTTTTGTGTTCAAAGTTTTATGGAACTTGCCTTTGACGTGCGAATTTAGCGAAGAAGACATTCAAAACCGTTTAATTGGAGTGCTATGCTGATCATCATGATTGCGGACTGGCTGAAACCTCTGAGGACATTCACTTAAAATTCTTAATCAGGAACTTATTTTCTTACTTTCAGCTGGTCATACAAGCAAAGAGCAACCCAGTTTGACATCAGCTTCTCCAAAATACTCTCGGTTCTGTAAAACAAACGTGGGTTTATCAGCATATTTAAAGAACGAATTGACTTTTGTTCTTGTCGATAAAGTTCAACTTGATCAAATTACCGGAAACAATCTTACCGATAGAAAAGCTGGCGAGTACGGTTCGAATCGGTAGCATTCTCGATCAGTTGTGTCATCAGTGTTATCATTACACTAAAACGTAGAAAGAATTCGTGAAGACTGTTTACAGAATTTTGATTTATGATGTAAACCACAAACTGATATCGATCAAAGCTTTTTCTGGAATAAAAGAAAACAAAACGATAGAAGTTTGAGTATTACAAATAGATGTGGATTTTTTTGTCTGTATGCTTAACTTACTCAGTGAGGTAGACCAATTTATTTTCAAGAACCATCACGACAGTTAGCAAAGATGCAATGGATTGCCTGAAATAAATAGAAAATACACGATTCACAACAAACACCAATGTATATATTTTATTTTTAAGAAGTAATCTTAAAAACACATGACGCAAATAAATAGATTTATCCAGTAATAATGTTACTCCATACAGATTCGTTCAGTCACACTTCTCGATTCAAAGTGAGGCCATAGTAATCATTCTTACTTTTCTCGGATAGACAACTTGGAGTTGCTCTCTGCATCCAGTGTTTGGATGAGCAGGAGGAGGAAGTTCTTGTTGCTAAGGAGTTGGGAGAACTTACACATGGCCCTCTCTATTTGCTCATTAGGATACTAGATTCACAGGTAAAGCAGAGGGATGGCGACCAATTTCAAATATTTTCAAATTCGCTGTGCAAACCTGAATAAATATCCCCTGGGATTAAAGTAATATACATTTTAAAGAGAAGTTACAAACATCCTTCAATCTAAATGTCATCAAAATCAAAAACTGCCATTTGTTCAATTTCCTGCATGCTATACTAATTAACACACTGATATAATAAACAGTTTTTTCGTTATTGGAATTTAGCAAAGAATTAATGTAATAACCTGGTCGGGCCAATATTTTATTTTGGGTATACCTCCTCGTCTTCAGTATCAGGTGTGATTTCCTGGCCAATGAACAGCATGTTGGTGGCGTACTCACGGTGGCTGACAAACGGCATGCCGATTCCATCTAAGTCACTAGTCAGATCTGTGAGGTCAGTTTGGAGCTCGGCGAAGGCTGCAAATATTCACTGGTTCCTTTATTTTAAAACCGTTTTAGGTGTTTATTGACATCACTTGATATCAAACTAAGTCCGAATTTATATTTTTTATGTTGAGGTGAGTTATTAAACAGATTGAGAAGATAATATCAAGCAAGTAGTCTTGGTTGAAATCTCTAAACAACTGAACCTCCTACTTAACATTGAGCTCTTCAAATAGCGATCAGAATTCTAACTGTTTGCGTTAAATAACTGGTAGATTCTTCCTGTTCGAATACGATGTGGGCTTTGAGCTCACCTTGTCTGACCTCATCAGCCAGATCTCTCTCCAAAGCTCTCATGTCTTGCAGGATCAGTCTAGCCTCTCGTTTGGCTCCATACACCTGAGCTACAAAACAGAACGCCACAAACAGGATGCACACCAGGATGGCCCCGCTGACTGATGGCACGATGATGGGAACGACAGATGGAAGGGGGTAGCGAATGTAGCCGATGCGAAACTCCAGGTTGCTGTGAATTACCTGAAAGGCAAAACGTGTATTAAATTTTGGAATTTGGTGTTTTACTTAGTTATAATACGTTATAAAATATGTCTAAACAAGTTATCATACCCAATAGAGCTGGTTGCTTTCATGGAAGACGAGATGACATGGACGAACTTAACATGCACGAACCACATCAAAGAGGTACGGACTAAGGTCTCATGTGAGTTTATCACATGCAACATCCGAAGAGTTTACCCATATTGATTAGTGTTTCGAAAATCGAAATGATGAACATATTGAGCTGTTGGTTTGGTCTTCGGCACCAAGATAATAACGATTTGTCACGTTCACATTTGCCTTGAACGGGAACATTTATGATATTAACGAATGTCTCCTTACTCACCCAGACCGCAGGCAAACCTTCCTGGGTGTCTCCTCCTTTGAAATCCCCTGCAGCTGGTTCATTCTCCGGTAAACTGCACTGTAAGGTGGTGTCACTGACCAGGTCGACAGCACAGAAATCCTTCCCAATCCTTACTTGAACTTCTGACGCTGTGATTGCACTGTCCAGCCGTTCACCCTGAAACAATAAAGTTTGGCGATGATTTTACACTCAGGTCTAACGCATGAATCTGGAAAAAAGACGATTTGTATATGACCATAAAATCTAGTAGCAAGAACTACTCAGTAATTAAACATTCATTCCAAGTACCAATAAAAGGAATTATTTAAAAATGCTGCCATTTTTATTGATGATAAACAAGTGCATTTGCATTATTCAATTGACAAATGCTATGAACAAGTTAACTACTTTATTCAGTTCATGATGGAAGCCTTGTGATTTTTTGAAATAAACTGATCAAGTTATACATCTGAGAGCCATTTTTAAAGGAAACTTCCATTGGGGTCCAACACACCGTGATCACTACACCTGCTGGTTGGAAAATATGCACAGCAAGACAAAAGTCAAAGGACAAAATAAATAGACTCAAAACCAGCAATACACAAACCATGATTGTCAGTGTTGACCCGTCTTTCTCCATCTCTCCATTCTCAAACGGGACATACACTGGATCTTCAAAGTACTCCAGCTCTATCTCGTTGTCCTCAGACCATGTCAACAGTTCGCTGACCCCGTCCATGATGAAGCCAAAGGTCAGGTTTTCGTTGGTATCCCTCATCATTCGGAGTGATGTTATGTTTGGAGACTTGCACTGCATCTCCGTGGTGGACTCACCTGTGCATTCCTGGGAAAATAATGTTAACAATTATTTCTTAACCATGTTTGAACCTCCAAACATACCTGGGAGTGCCTGGAGTGAAATAAAAGACAGCATTCACTGCCATACATTTTGCGGTCGATTGGAAGAATGAATGAGAAGAAGAATTTGGTTAAAAAATCAAGCAATCATTACCTCTTTATACCTCAGACTACTGTCCCCAACGTAAATCTGACGATTTTGGCAGGTATCCAAGTATTGGCCATTTACGTTCAACGTCCGACCACCCCTAATATGCGTAAAAATAAACAAAAAAGGAACAACCAGAGAAGTAACTTGTATACAAAGTAATGACGAAGCCTGCTTTACTTCAGAAAAACTCAAATCATTTATGGTTTCCCGTATTTTAGGCTACCACATAAAACAATGATTATCAAAATTGCTTGAAAACTCATGTGAAACTACAGACTTACGAATAAATGCTCTTGAGTGGCTGAACCCGAGTGATGACAGGGTTTTCTGTGTAACTAAACTTCTCATCTGATGTTCTGTTCGCACCATCGAAGGAAACTCTCACGTTACTTGCCATTCCAGCCTGTCCAGCGGATGTTGTGCACTCCAACGTTTCTTTCGTTGGGCTACTGTTGGAAAACGTCCACAGGCATATTATTTATTGCATTCACGAGGACAATGGGGCGAATGAGCAGGAAAATATCACTACTCTTAATACTGCAAACCTTTATTCTTGAACTTGTTTCAATATTCATTTTTTCAATAAAAGTACTCTAATAAGCTGATCGGGGAATACAAAATCCAATGAATTATCTGTCACTGAAAAGCTGCTTCAAAATGTCCAAGACTGATAATTACGATGATATGACGCATGGCTTTTCTCCAATGAACGCCTCAATATTTCGTCCTGTGTTGAGGGATGTACCATTCACGCTGACTGCAGTCCCACCAGCTTCTGGGCCAAGGCGAGGTTCAAATAATGTAATCCTTGGATTCTGGTAATAAAAATGGGTGACATCGTATTTCTTGGTCAAGATGATATAACACACCACACACATGACCCTAACGTAAACACTTACTTTTGAATTTCATGTGTACTGACTTTGAAAACCATGATTGAAATACCGACTTTAGTCAAAGAGATGGTCTGGAGGGAAACGTGCTTTTTTGGCTGCCTGCTATCCTGCAGGCCACGTTGTCCAGAGTGTTCTAAAATACCACTGCAAAAAGTAATTCTTACTTTGAACTCAAAGTTGACAGTTCCTGAGCTGCGCTGCTGTGAACCATCTGCCCCTGTGATTGTCAAAGTGACCAACTCACTTCCGTCACGTTCTGGTTTTGTCCTGCAGCTGACACTGAAAGATAGCGTGATGTGCCATTCATTCAGCGTTGTTGCAAGATATTTATTTTCGATCCCAGCGACCTAAAGCACGTCAATTTGTGTATAATGTGTTTAAGCTTGCAAGTTAATCTACGCAAAAATTCAGATTAATTCTTGCTGGAAACAAGCCTCTTGCTCTTATACCTTGCCCCAATGAGATAGTCAGAGCTTAATCCGTCTAGATCACAGGGTTGATTGCCAACCATCACAGCCACAACGTCACCAAATCGTCGACCGATGTCAGTTCCCATTACGGCAAGAATTGTGTTGCCTTCGATCGGTCCGGTCAAAGGAAACAACTTCATTCAGGGTTATAAGCAAGGAAGTTGGCATTAGAGCAAATTCAAGACAAGCTTGAAATGTATGATGCATTTCTATCGGAAGAAATAACGATGTCTGCCTATAGTCCTGTGGTAATTCATAATCGTGATTTAGAAAGAATACCAACAATCATGTTCTGCATATGTCATTGATAATTGTAAACATAATCTTTATGAAAGACAATAGCAACAAGTGGCACATATTAAGCAGGGAGGCTTGAGCTTTCGCTGTGCTTTCTGAAACAGTATACACCTTAATGTTAAACTACAATCCATGAATTACCATTCATTCACTGTCTCCTATAGTGGTGCGACGGGGTGAGGGCTTGAGCATTAGAAGGTTTTTGGTTCAAGCATCCACCCGACAAATCCTGGGTGCACGTTTAACAGTTCAAAAGCAGAGGGCCACAACTTGATTTTAAGAAATGTGCCATCATGTAAACCTACCTTGCTGAGAACTGGATCCGGGCAGTTCACTCCATTATACAAAGTCACAATATTTTCAGTGCAACTTTCATTCAGTTTGCAAACACCTGGCACGGTAGGCATGGCACCGCACCACAGACATCCAAGCTCTGGACGGGCTGTGACACATCGACTGCAGTCTGGTTTCTGGACTTCGCATTTGTACAGAGTCGCTATCACAAAGCAGATATTTAATAACTTCGAAACTATCGCATTTCAAAATTGGTGTTTATGCGGAATAAGACTTGATGGCTTTGAAAGTTGCTTGGTGATCAACTTGTACGACTAATTCTATTGTTTACCATTGAATCCATGTAAGTCATCTAGGATATGTGCTGCACCAGTCGTGTCAGTCCAAGTAACAGTCAGCCTCACTTTAAGCTCTGGCTCATTGTCTGATAAATACGTGTACTGGCGAGAAAAAAAAATGGTTTTATTTATTTTTTTTATTTATTTATTTTTATCTGTTTGTTATTATTGATCAGTCGATTTTCAACTATGCCAGACAATAAAGTTGTTCCTAAAAAGTTTCAGTTTTGAAAGACTACTTACAGCTTCCTGCGCACATGTGATAATCGTTCCGCTACGTTGAGCCACTGCGGTCTGGAATGATCCATCAACATCCAAGCTGCAAATATAGCTGGAAATCTACTCATAAACCAAACGAAAGAATCTTACAAATCGGAAAACAAAACAGCTGAAGGAGGAATCTCCTTTATACCTATCACACATAGACATTTGGATAATAATGAACACCTGAAGAATTAAAATTGCTTTGCAGTGACAAGCACTAAGCAGATTCATGTAATATGAAGCAACTCATAACCTTTCCTCAGAAGGCAAGAATCCTTTTCTAGCAAGTTTCGTAATGCTTATACCTGAGTTGTATTTGGCAGATTTTCAGTCCTGACTGTAATACTCCTCTGGATTCCATTAGGCAGAAGAACTTCACCACTTTGAGCTTGCAGCTGTGGACATGATCCAGGTCCCTTTGGCACAGTTGAGACTGGAAGCTGTACGTTCCATAACAATTGAAATAAATTATCAGTGATATGATAGTCTTTCACTGATTATATCTAAAATGAAAGGGGAAATTAACGAAACTAAAGTCAGGTCAATTTAAGCTACAAGTACATTAAAAAGACACAAACACTTCATTATAAGTATACACTTGAAGAACAGCATTGACAAATACAAAGCTTTGTATTGTCAAACGGTGCACTGTAATGTTTATTATAAAAATCTATGAAAAAATAAACATCATCAAAACTAATAATTTTATGTGCAATAAATTTTTTGGTAATTTTCTTACCTTTTCTCCAGTGATGATGATTTCATTAGCTTTAGTACACGTGGAGCTTTCATGAGTACATCTGTTGTCAAACACACACCAGTCACAGGCCCAGCGACTACCAACACAGGATACACAGCTGTGTCCAAAACAAACAATATCATGAAATATGTAACTACAATCAAAGCAAAACAAATATCATGGAATATAGAAAATAATTACCGAATCCAAATACTGAACGAGATGTATTTCGAAAGAAAAGAGGCTTAAATATTTAGTTTGCATGGAAGGACAAAGGAAGAAAAGTTTTGTAAAATCTGAAAGTTGCCACAATAACATTCCATCACTTACGATGTATGAAATGTGCAGTTGTAGAAGTGAAAGCTGGTATCAATGAATCGCACCATTGTTTCCGTTGAATAGACATTCAGGTCAACGCTGACAGCGTCATCTAAGGAGGAGTTACGAGCAAGATATTTAAACAAAATGATTTTCAAGTCAAGACCCATCACCTCTTAAGCTATAGGCCATAGTATATATTTCCAAGGTTAAGTTTCCGTTATTTAAAAATTCCCTGGGACATAGATTTATGTGCTTTTTTCTTGCTTACTTCCTCGCTGAATGGCAGGTATCCGATTGCTAGGTGGAGATGTACACATAAGCATTTCACCAGTCTTTGTAGCAGGAGATTGGTATGACCCAAAGTAACATTTATAACTCTGGCCTATCTCTAGGTCAGGGAGCTGCTGTACACTCAGGCTGATCTAAAGGAAACCAAAGCGTGCATTTACATTTAGTTCTCTTTCAAGAATGAATTTAAAATTAAATAACAATGACTGTTGGTTCCATTTACTGCTATAAAAACTTGATGAAATGACGTCATGTTTATTTTTGGACCCGGCAAAAAAATCTGGGAATTCCCAATTATGAGCGTAAGCCAAAAATGTTTCACATTAGACTTTACTTTGATTCAAAGCAGCATATCTCTAAGGCAAGCCTTATCGAAGTCAAAGTGTTTCATTGAAAATGCAAACTAAAATGTACACTGCATTTTTCAAACACGGTTTATCTTCGTAAAAATCAATTCCAATCAACGCTAATTATTTTTCGTTGGGAAAATAGTTTCGGGGGATACTCACCTTTTGCTGTGTGAAATTGATCGGAAGGCTGTCATAAGGAGCTACAGTAGTAATATTAATGCACTGAGCAGCATTGTAGGCCAACCAGCGAGTAGACACATCTGGCAAGTCACAGTCTGAATATCTTGAACACCTAGAAAGAAACAGTAGACCTTAATGCCTACCTACCAAACGAATCAACAATTAACACAGACAATACTGCGACTTACTTTCTTTCCAGAGTGCACCATCCACAGTATGGGTCTCCATCATTCCCTGCATCAGTCCCAATACATGCTTCACAGGTGGTGTACTGACTACAGTTCTCGGCACGCATCTTGATCAACTGTGAGTTAAATGGTAGGCCTACATTTTTAAAGGCTTACAGAAAATGAAATCATTTAGTTCACGTAAAGTAGTTCAAAATAATAGTAAATATGTAACCATTTTAAAAACGCCGTAAATCTAATAATAACCCCATTAATCGTGACCCCAAAAGGTAAAAAAAGATCCTGCGTTTCACCCTAAAATAAATCCCCTTTAGGTTTTGGCTGTTCGCGCCCCCAGGCTGATTGGATGACGTCATCGCCAGAACGCTGACATGTACATAGCGCACAGTACATGCAGTATCGCACGCTTGCAATAGATCACCTTGTGTTAGACCATTGATTTATCACGGCCCACAGGCAAGAGAAGCAAAATTAACCGCAAACCTTTTGTTCAGTGAGTACATGTATCTCTCTTGTTGTGTCGTTTAGCTTCATATCTGTCAACACTGGGCTAGTATCTACAGGCACTCTCTCATATATTCTGGCTGATGTATTATTTTCAATGTGGACCTGCATTAGTGAGAATTTCAAATAGCAACATTGAATGTTTCAAGAATTATCCTTCACAAACCAAAATGTGCTTATATTTATTTCTTGATCATGAAAATAAACTGATAAAAGTTTCGATTTTGATAGGTCTTTGCCATACTTAAAGCTTTCTTGCAATTTTAGATCTTAAAAAAACTAACTTGGACATACCTGATTGTGAAACAGATGACGTTTTTGTACTTTCTTTAAAGTGCCAATATGGTTATTCTGAGTAAACCGACCCTTTCTTTTGATCTCCACCACTCAAATAATTTTTTCAATATGATCCCAAATATTCAATATTGACCCATACCAAAGTGAGCGTTCAAGAAAAAAGTGAAGAAAACACAAGGCGTTGCGTCTTTCCAATTGTCCCTCATAATCAATTTACCTGTCTCAAACTACAAAAACACTACCTGTTATATAATTAACCCCTGCAGTCCTCAATCCTCCAACAGGTGAAGGATTGAGGACTGTTAGGGTTAAGTGTATTTCCAGGTTGATCAGACAGGTTTTATAATCTCAGATTCATAAAAAAGCAAAAGCACGGCGCATTTGCTCCGTAAAAGATTTTGCGAATTTCTGTTATCCAATGTTCAAAAATGATACATTTGGGCATTGTGGATTCTTATAATTTACGACTACCTACTTATCAGCGATTTTGATATTGCTCTGCGAAATGAACAAAGGGGAAACCATGAGAGTTATTTAAACTTGAAATGTAATTTTTTTTACTCGAATTTCCGTCAAGGGTCGTCAATATTCAAAGCGGACGGCGCGGAGCTAGGGTGCAAATTGACAAAACAATGTTCTAATTCACGATACGCAGTAAATGTATGCAACGTTTTATATAACATTTGAATAAACCACTATCATTGTCACTGTCATGTGACAGTGATAAGCATATATTCTGTGTAGTCAGTGATGCGACGGTTAAATGTATGCAGTTAAATATACTGCTCAACCACATGTGCGGAGCGAGTGTCGCCGGCGGCATCTCATGTAGACGAACCCTAAATAGCAGCTTGGAAAGTGACTCGGGTCACACTTTTACAATACGAACGGAAGCGTATAAGGGCCAGTTGCATTTTTTTTCGAGTCACTATCTCGCCACGGCGAGTTATTATTTCGCCGCGGCGAGTTCAATCGTTGATGTGTATCTCGCCGCGGCGAGACGAGATCTTGCAGCAGAGTCAAAGTGATATCCTGCCGCAGCGAATATTTCAATAGTTTCAAAAGTCCTACTCAGCGCGCCGTTTTCAAATGTTATTTTAGAGTGAAATGCAGTGATATGTAGTTTTATATTGCTAATTGGAGCAAAGGGGATGTTGCATTTCAACAAAGCTTGCTTTCCAACACAAAAGAAAAAAAAAGAAATTATATTTTGAGGAGAGAATTTCCACATTCAGACGAGAGGTAGACTGTTCGTAATTCTTTCCTACATTTTTCAAGTGCCAAACAGAAGCAAGCGGACTTGAAAGTTACATTTGATCTTTCAACGGTCGAAATTTATTAATTTACATTACTTAAAATGGAGATCACCAACAATACTTTTACAAACGTAACACATGAAATACATTACGGCTTTAGACGTTCAAATCATTTTAGGTTTCAGTACCCTAAGCCCCAAATATAAGTGCACAGGAGTCATGCACACCGCGTTGGAGGTGTCGACAAGAAAAATACATTATTTATTTGTCCTACCCAACACCCTGCACTGTATGGGTGGTTATTGCTGCTGGAGTCTTCTAATCATAGCAAATTATAATGTTATAGAGGTTTGGTCCGAAATGGCAACACAGATTGGCTACAAATATGCATGGGCGTCGCCAGAATTTTTTTCAGCTGGGGGAGGGGCAAATTGTCTAATTAAAACAATGAAATTTACATGTAAATGTGGGAGGGGCCTCGATTTTCTTTTTTCCTCATGCAAATAATTATGTTTCATAATCATAACTATTTTTCATTTCTTTGTTTTCTTGTTTTTCGTTCTTTTGCGGGTCCCAATTCGCGGTGCTTATGTAAGTGGGATTATTCGCATAAGTATAAATGAAAAGCCACAGTCATGCCTTCAACAGGCAGTCAACCAGGAAGTCAAAGTAGTCTACCCCACTTCCGAATATGGATTTATTATATTTTCTTTTGTGCTGGAAATCAAGCTTAAACAAGCTTTATTTAAAGCAATCTGAAACCCAATTTCACTGAATTCCACGCTGACTGTATAACTGAGTACGACAACACGCTAAATAAGATTTATGAAACTACTGAAGTAGGCCTACTTGAAGCGTTGGGATTTCAATTTCACGCAGCAGCAAGATTGTTTAACTCGCCGCAGCTAGATACACATTCAACGATTTTACTCGCCGTGGCGAGACTCGCCGCGGCCACTTTTTGCAAGTGGCCCTTGTACACTACCGTGAATACGCAAAGCTGAAAAAATAAAATTTAAATGCCGAATTGCACACCAGTTGTTTAGGTATAACGCAAACTAAACATGTCTTTCAAATCCGTGCAATGTAAAGAATATTTTCATTCAGTGACAGATTGAAAGTTTAATTTACTCGGCTACGCCCACTGAAAAGAGCATTCAGTCTGTCACATCATGAAATTATTCATACCACTGTAATCAGAAACATTTATTATGTATTTATTATTATCATATTGATCATGCAGGCATTTATTAGCTTAGGTTGAAGGGGATAAATGTTGCAGTGAGCGTTGTTTCAAACAAATAGTATTAAATTGATATGATAAATTCAGTCTGTAATTTCGTACAAATAGTCTGCTCATTTCACATTCAAGAGGGTTCATCATGAATGCCGCTGAGCCTTTTTCTGCCTAGAATACTCTTACTTTAAGCAAGCTTCCTCTTGAGGTTCCAATGAATATAACAGTGTGGTTGAATTCAATGTTGGTGATAAGGGATGACATCAGGGTAGCTGAAAAAAAGTTCAGAAAAGTTAGAGACTGCCTTTTCTCTAAAGCCCAACGTCAAAGAATGTAAGTAGAAATTACCGGCACGAAAAGGTATCACACATATTTTCATAAAGGTGACAGTCTTTAAGGATAACTTTAATGGATTAAATGGGAGTAACTGAAAAGGACAAAAATCACATGTTGGCCCTACTGAAAAGAAATATTGTGTGTTTGTGTTTATTGGTCAGAATTAAAATGCTGGAAATAATTTATTTTCCCTTTTTCTGGTTGGTTTGTTGATGGTTTGACGGTTAAGGGACGAAAAGCCGAATGTCTCTTGATGAGTGACCTCCGTGCGTTGAGTCGTTGGGAGTGATTACTAGTTTAGTATGTAAATTAGCCTATAACTAAAACTCACCTAGGATGCATTGCATTGGCGTTACGGAGATGTAACAGAAAAAGATAAAAAATCAAAGTAAAGTAGCAGTAAAAAATCTGGAAAAACCGGAAAAGTTATTTTAAAAAAGATTATGAGCAAAGGGGAAGAAAATCGAGAGGTTATTGAAAAAAATTCTTCGTCGTGCTAATAACGAATACCCCTACATGACGACAAAAAGAGAATTGCTATATCTCACTATAAGTGTGGGAGCACCTATTGATATTTGTTATGTTGGGTGGAGATTCATAAGTAGGCGATGACGCTGAAAGAGCCGTATACATGTAGTGCAGTGGCACGGTCTTTTCAGGATTTTGCAGCCATACGTCACGCTGTTCATTAAGTTGATAAAGAGGGATTGTAGTAAGAACAATGCCGTACATTTGGCAGTATTTATTGCCATTCGACAAATTTGGACAAGACAAATTACCCTGAGTTATTGGCGCCACCCTAGACTTGAATCAAGTCGGACTTACGTAGCTCATCCCTGGCCCTAGTCAGTCATCCCTTCCGCCCGTACGCAGAACACGGTTGTTGCGCTCGGCCAGGCAACTCGCACAATCCACTGACGTATGTTTAAAAAAATCTGGACTTGCAACGCCTTTGTATGCAGTAGAAGCCAACCAGCGGCCATTTTACTGAGCCAAATACAAAATGCGGGTTGGCTCACTTGCCATTGTACCAGCAGGGAGAACAAAGGCGGGCATGCCGTACAAACTTTGTATTCGGCTAGGTAAAATGGCCGTTAGTGGAAACAATGATCTCTATAAGCTGATTAAGGGCGTGCAAGTCCAGATTATTTTATATACGTCCTTTGCATAACCCTTATAAGGCGCCCTCATTCATAGCCTTTATTGTACAATGTGTGTCATATGTCACCAGTCAGTCAGACCTGACGGATAGGCCAATCGGACCCCTCCCCGTCAGTGATATGTAGTTTGTTATAATTGCATATGAACGACGTGTCTTACATAATGTATACGGAATTTCCACCAACCAAAGTAGTCAGATTTGTGGACTCGTTCATTATAATGAAGGTGTAAACAACGTAAAAACAAGTCCATCAATGTGATTAGCTGCTACCACTTTTGGTAGATAAGCTTATTCGCTGTGCACAAACGGTTAGATTCGTCAAGTCGGGATTTCCTAGCTGAACTCGCAGTAAAAAGTTGACAAAAGAGGGCGCGAAGCAATCGGCACTGGGGCTCGGTATGCATCCAAAGCGGAAACGAAGACGTCACAGAGATCCCGACTTGAGTCATGTCTAGGCGCCATGTCCTGCATATTTTGGCAATTTCATTAGGAACCAGTTCAGTGCAGCGGGTGCAATTCCGGCATAATAGTTTGAAGGTCACAAATTCAAATCCCGCTACAGCAAATTCCTTTGTTTTTGAAATTGATTGTTTTGAAATATCCAATGTACAGAAGTTACCTGACACTTCCAGCAAGGCTGTAGATGAGACTGGAGTGATCCCTTTGGCATACTTGTACAGCTGAGTTATGCCATTAGCGACAGGATTACACAAAAAGTTGTCGGGTTGAACACCCTGTTGGCAAAATCGAATCCAACCTGTTTAACAAAAATTTCCAAAGAAGATTTAACAACCCTGAAAGAGCCAGGTGCAGAATCGCCCCCTCGACAATTTTTTCCCGATATCGCCACTATAGTGTATTTCCCCCACGAGTTGAACCTTGAGAAGTTCTTAGATTAACTCTTTGCCGTCATTTTTAAACCAATGTTGTGAAAATCGAACATATTGTTCTTACGCAGGGCGAATTTTTCCGAGACAGGTCAGCGAAAAAAAGGAATACTTTTTCCACCGCGACGCTCAATACCCGCTGGCAAGCACACGTAGCCTTGAACTTCAAATGACCGCAACAACAAAACCATGCGTCTAATTGGGTTCAAACTTCCTGTTTGTACTGATAGAAGTGTTTTACATGCAAACTAAGTTTTAAAAAGAAAAAAACCGGCAGAGCCGAGTTCTCTGGAAGGGGGTAATCCGCCCCCTGGCTGTGAGATGGGCCAAAATAAGCCAGCACTTTTGGGGTTAATAATGTACCTCAGAGACATGTTCTCCATAGACAATTTTCCGCTACACGTCTCATCAGTAATCTCTATGAATGTGAAATCTATGCATCACGGTGTGTTGTGTTGGTGTGTGCAGCAAATTCTAAACAAATTATGTCGTATCGCCAGGTGGAGCCTACTGATTGACTTTTTTTAATTAAGCATTGTCATTTTATCTTATAAATAGATAAAGTGCAGCATATCGTCTTCTTGATCAAGTGAATATTAGGAGCCTTTTAGCTGATATAGTTCATCATGAATTATTTCTCAGATTGTGTGGATTGGATTAAGCCAACATAAAACGATCGAAATTTGGATGTGTATCAATTTAGTGAATTTAAAAGTATGAATGGATTGATACAATATTCCAATCTCTCCCATAATTTTCTTTTCCCAAAGTTGCTGCAAAGAGACCCGTGAAAATTAATAACCTATAAAGTATGCATCTCCATCATGAATTCAGCCTTAAACTGTCTGTCCCTAGGCAGATGATATCAGTCATCCTGTTCACACACTATGCTGAGTGGGGAGGTGACAAGACAATCTTTTTACCAACATGAAATTCAAGACAGAGAGATTAATCCAAAGAGCCTACAGATTATGCATATCCATCCTGAATACAACCCCGTGTTGCCTCTCTAAAACCCAGAGAACTTCTCGGAAGCCAGTCAAGTCATCCTATGCACACACACACACACAAAGCTGAACATAACTCACTTACCTCAAATGTATTACATCCAGAAGCCTGCAGATAGCTAATTTTGTAGTCATCTCCATCCTGAATACAACCCCGCACTGCTTCTTTGAAGCCAGCCAAGATATCAGTCATCCTGTACACACACAATGCAGAGTGATCGGTAGGTACATCACTGGTACCCTGAGCTCCTTGGTTCTTGGCAAACACAGCATACAGTACCTGCTCGTCTGCATGAAGACCCAATGATGCCGCTAGATCAGGTCCTGCTGGTCCTAAGTGAGCTGCTTGCACTAAGCTGTACCCACTACCATCTGATCCACTGCACTGGATGGTGATTTCGGTGTATGCATCTAGATTTGGGCCTGTTTGACACACTCTGTTAAGCTTAGAAACATAGGAAACAGAATTGAAATACTCCTTCTGTGAGGTAACAAAGTATGTGAATCCTCTATGGTCAAACGCTGAAACAAACTTAACGGTAAAAAATGCTCTACTGGCACTTGTACTGAAAACAATGCCTTGTTTTTCATCAGGCACCGATAACACTAAAGACTGACTCTCAAGACTTCTTCTCGTGACAGACTGAAAGGGTAGTGGGTCTTTTATATTTTCGCCGGTATAAGTAACAGCAACATAAAGCATTTCCATTCCATCTTTCCCCGGAGAGATCAAACTAACTGTAGTTGCTTCCTCGAACCCAGCGACATCGGAGTCTGATTCTCTAATTACAAACTTAATATTCTGTAAGTCACGTAACTGACATATACCATCAAACACACCACCACAGGTTATCAGACTG